ACCATGCTGGTTTCTCTATAATAGTTTTTTTTAATTGTGTGGTATTCTGACAGTTGATTACAAGTACAACCAACCATGCTGGTTTCTCTATAATAGTTTTTTTTAATTGTGTGGTATTCTGACAGTTGATTACAAGTACAACCAACCATGTTGGTTTCTCTATAACACTTTTTTTGTTATAAAATAAAAGCAAACAACTTTAGTTTCAGAGTAAACATTTGGTCCAATCCAACTCTTACCTTGTGACCATTTCTAAGGCGTGGCGGAGGCAAGTCTCGAATCTTCTTCATTGCCGTAAGAGGTGGTTCGTTGAAACATGGAGGCTCTCCTTCAATCATTTCTATCACCATTATTCCAAGGGACCAAATATCCACCTGAACATCCCAAAACTTATTTCAGAATAAAATGACAGAAATACTCTTATCAACTTAACAGAAACTGTAACGTATTAACAAGCTTTATTCATAAATTGTCTTCAGACAATCTTGTCTATTGTACTAGAAAACCCGATTCAGATACACTTACATTTTAAAAGTATTTTAACCAAAAACACACAAATAAACAAAGTCTACATATAAAACTAAACCGACCATTTTCAGTTTAATAAATTCATGTTTTCTATCCTTTTTTAATATCAGTTTTATAAACCATAAATACCCAAAATATAAAGCTTTTTTTCCCCCACATCTGTTTACTTACTTTTATTATATTAACCAGTTTTTTTAAATTTAGGGGAAAAAATAAAAATGATAACATTAAAATTCCCCATCCAGTATTATTTGATGTTTCGGTATTCCATGAATTATTATATAGTAGATTCAAAACCTTTGTTTAGAAATATTACAACAGAAATGTCTAAAGGCATTTTGTTTAGAAATATTACAATAGAAATGTCTAAAGGCATTTTGTTTAGAAATATTACAATAGAAATGTCCAAAGGCATTTTGTTTAGAAATATTACAATAGAAATGTCCAAAGGCATTTTGTTTAGAAATATTACAATAGAAATGTCTAAAGGCATTTTGTTTAGAAATATTACAATAGAAATGTCTAAAGGCATTTTGTTTAGAAATATTACAATAGAAATGTCTAAAGGCATTTTGTTTAGAAATATTACAATAGAAATGTCTAAAGGCATTTTG